TGATGCTCATGAGTAAACAAATTACGTCACGTGTCCAATACACGTCAACTTGAGGGTCTAATATGCTTTCACAAATGCACTGATATTATTTATACCATTTTTACAATAATGCAGTAGGCTGCATAACAGTAATTCTTCTATTTTTTGTGTGAATAAAAATTCAAAATGGAAAGCAAGCATAATATAAGAGGGGCCAAAAATGGGAGGAGCTATAAGAGAGAGAGAGAGAGGGAAGGGCCAGCAGGAGTAGTATTCAGTATCTGATAATTCATCCTGATAGCTGGATACTAGCAGTGGCACGAATACAATGTTGTTTAATTATGCTAATATTAGTAATAAAGGTTATCTATCTTTTTTTTTTTTTTTTTTTTTTTTCAACAAGTCGGTCGTCTCCCACCGAGGCAGGGTGACCCAAAAAAAAGAAAGAAAATCCCCAAAAAGAAAATACTTTCATCATCATTCAACACTTTCACCACACTCGCACATTATCACTGCTTTTGCAGAGGTGCTCAGAATACAACAGCTTAGAAGCATATACGAATAGAGATACACAACATATCCCTCCAAACTGCCAATATCCCAAACCCCTCCTTTAAAGTGCAGGCATTGTACTTCCCATTTCCAGGACTCAAGTCCGACTATATGAAAATAACCGGTTTCCTGAATCCCTTCACTAAATATTACCCTGCTCACACTCCAACAGATCGTCAGGTCCCAAGTATCATTCGTCTCCATTCACTCCTATCTAACACGCTCATGCACGCTTGCTGGAAGTCCAAGCCCCTCACCCACAAAACCTCCTTTACCCCCTCTTTCCAACCCTTTCGAGGACGACCCCTACCCCTCTTTCCTTCCCTATAGATTTATATGCTTTCCATGTCATTCTACTTTGATCCATTCTCTCTAAATGACCAAACCACCTCAACAACCCCTCTTCTGCCCTCTGACTAATGCTTTTATTAACTCCACACCTTCTCCTAATTTCCACACTCCGAATTTTCTGCATAATATTTACACCACACATTGCCCTTAGACAGGACATCTCCACTGCCTCCAACCGTCTCCTCGCTGCTGCATTTACCACCCAAGCTTCACATCCCTATAAGATGTTGGTACTACTATACTTTCATACATTCCCTTCTTTGCCTCCATAGATAACGTTTTTTGACTCCACATATACCTCAACGCACCACTCACCTTTTTTCCCTCATCAATTCTATGATTAACCTCATCCTTCATAAATCCATCCGCCGACACGTCAACTCCTAAGTATCTGAAAACATTCACTTCTTCCATACTCCTCCTCCCCAATTTGATATCCAATTTTTCTTTATCTAAATCATTTGATACCCTCATCACCTTACTCTTTTCTATGTTCACTTTCAACTTTCTACCTTTACACACATTCTCAAACTCATCCACTAACCTTTGCAATTTCTCTTTAGAATCTCCCATAAGCACAGTATCATCAGCAAAAAGTAACTGTGTCAATTCCCATTTTGAATTTGATTCCCCATAATTTAATCCCACCCCTCTCCCGAACACCCTAGCATTTACTTCTTTACAACCCCATCTATAAATATATTAAACAACCATGGTGACATTACACATCCCTGTCTAAGACCTACTTTTACCGGGAAGTATTCTCCCTCTCTTCTACACACTCTAACCTGAGCCTCACTATCCTCATAAAAGCTCTTTACAGCATTTAGTAACTTACCAGCTATTCCATATACTTGCAACATCTGCCACATTGCTCCTCTATCCACTCTATCATATGCCTTTTCTAAATCCATAAATGCAATAAAAACTTCCCTACCTTTATCTAAATACTGTTCACATATATGCTTCAATGTAAACACTTGATCTACACATCCCCTACCCACTCTGAAGCCTCCTTGCTCGTCTGCAATTCTACATTCTGTCTTACCTCTAATACTATTCCTGGTATACTCAGTAAACTTATTCCTCTATAATTTTTACAATCTCTTTTGTCCCCTTCCCTTTATATAAAGGGACTATACATGCTCTCCGCCAATCCCTAGGTACCTTCCCCTCTTTCATACATTTATTAAACAAAAATACCAACCACTCCAACACTATATCCCCCCCTGCTTTTAACATTTCTGTCCTGATCCCATCAGTTCCAGCTGCTTTACCCCCTTTCATTCTACGTAATGCCTCACGTACCTCCACCACACTTACATTCTGCTCTTCTTCACTCCTAAAAGATGGTATACCTCCCTGGCCAGTGCACGAAATTACCGCCTCCCTTTCTTCCTTAACATTTAAAAGTTCCTCAAAATATTCTCGCCATCTACCTAATACCTCCCTCTCCCCATCTACTAACTCCCCTACTCTGTTTTTAACTGACAAATCCATACTTTCCCTAGGCTTTCTTAACTTGTTTAACTCACTCCAAAATTTTTTCTTATTTTCATTAAAATTTCTTGACAGTGCCTCTCCCACTCTATCATCTGCTCTCCTTTTGCACTCTCTCACCACTCTCTTCACCTTTCTTTTACTCTCCATATACTCTGCTCTTCTTATAACACTTCTGCTTTGTAAAAAGTCTCGTAAGCTACCTTTTTCTCTTTTATCACACCCTTTACTTCATCATTCCACCAATCACTCCTCTTTCCTCCTGCCCCCACCCTCCTATAACCACAAACTTCTGCCCCACATTCCAATACTGCATTTTTAAAACTATTCCAACCCTCTTCAACCCCCCCACTACTCATCTTTGCACTAGCCCACCTTTCTGCCAATAGTCGCTTATATCTCGCCTGAACTTCCTCCTCCCTTAGTTTATACACTTTCACCTCCCTCTTACTTGTTGTTGCCACCTTCCTCTTTTCCCATCTACCTCTTACTCTAACTGTAGCTACAACTAAAATAAGATCCGATATATCAGTTGCCCCTCTATAAACATGTACATCCTGGAGCCTACCCATCAACCTTTTATCCACCAATACATAATCTAACAAACTACTTTCATTACGTGCTACATCATACCTTGTATATTTATTTATCCTCTTTTTCATAAAATATGTGTTACTTATTACCAAATTTCTTTCTACACATAACTCAATTAAAGGCTCCCCATTTACATTTACCCCTGGCACCCCAAATTTACCTACTACTCCCTCCATAACATTTTTACCCACTTTAGTCATTGAAATCCCCAACCACCATTACTCTCACACTTGATTCAAAACTCCCCACGCATTCACTCAACATTTCCCAAAATCTCTCTCTCTCCTCTACACTTCTCTCTTCTCCAGGTGCATACACGCTTACTATCTATCTATCACATTTATTCCAACTTGATATCAGAAACATGACAGATAACCTAGAAGCACAATAAAGACACCAAAATTAATTAAAAGGCATATGATATGGAGAGGTGGTGGTGTTTACATCAGGGCAAACACTCTTAGATCATGTTTATGTCAACAAAAAGCTCAAAAATAGCGTGATTTTCCCGAGTCCTATGCTATGCACACATTTTTCTAGGTTATCTTGGAAGTAAGATATTTACCTATTTTTTTGAAGTGGCACCGTTAATAATGAATGAACTGCAATGATTTTCACGGCGAATATAAAACAATGAATGTTTTACACAGGTAGCAAAATCAGACATGCGGGTACCTCTTTCATATTTTGCCATGATTTTTTTTTTTCATCTCTATTGTGACTAACCAATTTTCTTTTCTGATTGGCTGTTATCACTAATCTTCCTAGACCCTGTGGTGACTTACACAAATAATATAAACACCAAAAAATGTGAACAAACACGAAATAGTTTACAGCGAAGTTCAGGGGAGTTTTGCACTGAGTGACAGCTGCGGAGAGACTGACACACATGTTCTGGCAGGTCATGTTTGCTTGGTCATGTGCCGAGCAAATGGTCGACTACCAAGTGATTCTTTTACTGAACAAAGCATTTGAGTACCGAATTGTTAGAATAAGGAGCTGTTTGAGTACCAAGGTTCTACTGTACTTGAAAACATATAAAAAAAAATAGAGAAAAGAAAAAGATAACATTGAGCCCCATATGGCAACACCCGCTGTTGCTGTCAAGCACTTCATGACCTTCAACTTTGATTTATTGCATAACAGTAAATCTTCAGTTTTTTGTGTGTGAATTAAAAATCAAAATGGAATTCATGTGACAAGCCTAGGAATGTAACTAAAGAACAGAGAGAATATTATTTTAGTGCCAGGTATGCCTGCATTGTTTATGGACCTTATTTTGAAATTTGTGTGAAATTGGCCAAAATACCAATTTCTGACCACTTTTTTGGGTAGTTGAAATAGCTGACTAGGTGATTTCTTGTGCCCAGTTGATTAAATGGAAGACATACTAGCAAAATCGTTAAGAATTTGGTCGACTGGAACAATGTAACTGGCCTAAAATAGGACTCAAAGTGGGCAAAATTGCCAATGCATTAATACTGCTAACTGCAAAATTCACAAAAGAGTAATTTCGTCAATTTTGCATCAAATTTTGTACTTTTAGTTTCATTGCCTTCAGAAAAAGATTCTCTATCATTCCATAAGAAAAAACAATTTTATTTTTGGGAAAATTCTTGCACAGTGAAAGCAATTCTCAGATCAGGGGGTCTGGACAATGAAAGGGTTAAGTACTGTATGGATTGCATTCATTTTCGTCTTATTATCTATGGTAAAATTATACTTTACAATATAAGAATTTTTTATTTAAAAAAATTGCAACACAGAAGGGACATTTAACGTCAGGGCCTTTGACAGTTTCAAGGTTAAGGATGCTTTGCTCTCGGTTCTTGACAGAGCTCCACTAACTGTTTAACAAGACTTATTCTGTCCATGTGTCTGATTTTTTCCAAGAAAATTATTTTTTTTTTTAATCATATTATCCCTTTCAAATGAAGCCAAAAAAAATGGCAAAACAAATAGGGGATATTTTGAAGATTATCTAAAGAACAGTAACAAAGTACTGCATATGGTACAAGTCTCACCTCATTAATACCATTAAGTGCCGTCCTAAGTGTGACATCTGGCTGCACTTTGAGCTGTGCAAGCCGAGTCTGAAGTGCAGCAGTGTGATGTGAAAGGTTCATTGCACATCCCAAACATACTGCAGACAAATCTTCAACACTCATACCCTGAAATGCAAAATATGAAGAATTGAAATGATATATAAAGGTTCATTTCTGAAACTGTTGTATGGATCTTTAAACTTAAACCTTTCACTAGGGTCTTGATTACTCTTGTTGTAAAGATAATGTGCAGTGATATAGGTACCTATTTATTTACCCTGTTAGCCTTTGCACCTAGTTTAACAATCATTGCTCAGGACCAATAGACATCTACAAATCTACCAGTCTAATAGGAATAGATATCAATGAACTATCAGTTATATAACATAGCTTTCCCTACCAATCACCTATCAGGCTTGAGTTTTACATGGAGGTCGACATACACAACTGCTACTCGTACTGACTATGGATTAATAATTTATCTATCAAACTGTACATTAACTATATTTTGGTTAAAGTTAGCAAATTATACAAGTCATTACATGATAGCATGGTACATGTAGCAGATATACGTGAACATGTGAGACTGGATGAGCGTGGTTTATGTGATGTGCAGGTGGGATTTAATTAAGCATGATGATAATTATGGAAATTTGATGAAGTCCCACTGTGGGTGAAATGTATGTTAAAGGCATTCCCTGCTAAAATTGTCTTTGAAATTTCCATTAACTGACTAACAACACTGTCTACCCACCAGTATCCATGAACAAGACAAAAACTGACTAGCTGAAATGAAATTTTAGAAGTTGCAAACCAGTGTTTTTAGGAAAAGTCAGATTTAGTTATGTGGGGTTCCCTGAGCAAGGGGTTTGTAGGCCTCCAGTTTATGATTATTATTACTGATATTATCACTCTTATTATTGTTGATACTACTACTACTACTACTATACGACTATGACTAATTATGTAGCTACGGTATTTTGTAACTTAACTGCAAATATTCAGTATTGCAAACAATTAGGTATATAGTATTATTGCATCCAGTTTGGGCTATTGTAAATACAGTAGGGCCCCACTTAAACAGCAGGTTAGGTCCCAGGCTACTGCCAGAAAGCAGACTTCGCCGGAAAGCAGAACGCCATTTTTTCCACTTATAAATGCATATAAATGCCAGATAACAAGTTTGCACTAACATATATTAAGTTAGCAATAGAACTTAGACATTAAAAAACAATAAAAAGTAAAATACACACAGAGTACACTCATTATTTACCTGAAAATATTCGTAGTCTTAATGTAGGGCAAAAGTTGAGTAGCATTTACTATAAGAGGTTAGGTGTGGTAGCCCTCCTGGCCACCCCCACCCACGCATAATATATGACGATGCTTAAACAGTGATAAAATGCATATACAGTACACTCATTACTTACCTTAAAATATTTGTAGTCTTAATGTAGGGTGAAAGGTGAAAAGTATTTATTTGTAGAAAGTGGTGTGGTAGGTAGGGTAGTGTAGGGAAGCCAGTCTGGCCACCCCACCCACTATGTAAACAAACAGATGATGCATTTTGTTATGGTTCATAAACATTCATACAAACACCTTACATTATGTACAAGTTGTCTCCACAGTGGTACAGTAGAATAAATAAAGACCAACACTTCCATTCTCATGTAATTTTTAGAAGGAATGATGCTCTGACACATTATTATTATTACAAATTATTACTACAAATGATTATTATTACAAATGATTATTATTACAAGTTATTATTACAAATTATTCTTGCAAGTTATTATTATTATAATCATAATAAAAAAGAAGCACTAAACCCACAAGGGTCGTGAATTGCTATATATAGAGTGAAGGAATACGAAAGGAATATTTATCTACAGTTATCCCCCAGTGTTTGACAAGAGAAAACATAATTCTTCCGACATTCCTACAGAGCCGCTTTGTAAACAAATCTCATATTTATGTCGATTTTTATTCTGTGGGTGTATGCATCATGTTTATATGCTATGTAACGTGTTTCTTATATAATTTTGAAGAAAATATCATAGATGGATCAATGAAAATGTCTTTATTAACATAAAATATGACATTTAATGTACCCAAGAGAGATTATTATTACATAGTATTATTATGGCATCATGAGTAGAGAGAGACTCTTAGTGATTTTAATGTGTACCTACATGCCAGCACAGTGTGTAAGTATATTTAGGTACAGGTACACATAAGCATAATTACCAGAGTACATATAAAATGCACAATAACTTTAAAACACTTGAAATTTTGGAAAGTTTCCAGACATAATAGATGTGCTCATGGAGAATGTAAACAAACAGTGTGGGGCGTGCCGTATTTGAAAGATCACTTGCCGTATAGCAAATTTTGGTCATAATTTGAAATCGCCGTATTAGCAGAACGCCATAAGGCAAAACACTGTAGTGCAGGGCCCTACTGTACAGGGAAAATAAATGGATACATTAAACAAAACTTTAGTATCAATAATTATTTAATAAAATATCATTACCACTCAATCACTAAAAACTTTAGTTGTAAACCTGTCCATCATACCTACCATCATCCATACACATTAAAGATTATTATTTTCTTCAGACAAACATCGCAGGATTCAGGGTATATTATTATACAGTGGACCCCCGCATAACGATCACCTCCGAATGCGACCAATTATGTAAGTGTATTTATGTAAGTGCGTTTGTACGTGTATGTTTGGGGGTCTGAAATGGACTAATCTACTTCACAATATTCCTTATGGGAACAAATTCGGTCAGTACTGGCACCTGAACATACTTCTGGAGTGAAAAAATATCGTTAACCGGGAGTCCACTGTATTATGCTTGTGTAAGCATGTTAAATGGGAGTGAGTGGAGATAAAGTGGTTTTTAACTGACATGCTGTAGAAGTTTGAACAAGGTAATTTTAACCCTTTGACTGTCGAGGTCGTACATATATGTCTTACGAGGTACCGTGTTTGACGTATATATACTCATAAATTCTAGCGGCTTCAAATCAAGCAGGAGAAAGCTGGTAGGCCCACATGTGAGAGAATGGGTCTGTGTGGTCAGTGTGCACCATATAAAAAAATCCTGGAGCATGCAGTGCATAACGAGAAAAAAAAACTCCGACCGTTTTTTTTTAATTAAAATGCCGACTTTGTGGTCTATTTTCGTATATTATTTATGTTTGTATTCTCATTTTTTCGGTCTCATTTGATAGAATGGAAAACATATTATATAAATAGAGGTGATTTTGATTGATTTTACTATAAAAAGAACCTGGAAATGGAGCTCAAAGTAGCGGAAATGTTTGATTTTTGCCGATGTTCAAAAGTAAACAAATGATGTCCTTGTCCAATAAATGTCCAACTAGCCATTCTAATATGCAGTCATGAATGGGTTGATGTTATTTATACAATTATTACAGTATTGCAGTAGTCTGCATAACAGTAAATCTTCTATTTTTTGTTGGAATAAAAATTCAAAATAGAAAGCAAGAGTAATATCAGAGGGGCCTGGAGACATGACTGATGAACAAAGAAAATGTTATTTTAGAGCCAGGAATGTCTCCATTGTTCATTCTGGACCTTATTTTGAAATTGTCATATTTTTTAATTTTCGTGAAATTGGCCAAATTGCAAATTTCTGACCACGTTATTGGGTAATTGAAATTGGTAAATGGGCAGTTTCTTGTACTCAATTGATAGAAAAAATGGAGTTCTAAAGAAATAGTTACGAGTTTGGTCAACTGGAACAATGGAATTAACCGAAAATAGGGCTCAAAGTAGGCGAAATCGCCAATTTGTAAATATCGCCGAGGTCGCTAACTTCGCGAGAGTGTAATTCCGTCAGTTTTCCATCAAATTTCGTGTTTTTGGTGTCATTACAATTGGGGAAAGATTCTCTATCATTTCATAATAAAAAAATAATTTTCTTTTTTTTTTAAATTTTGCGACACCAGGAGACACTTCAGGATTGGGGGTTGCGACAGTCAAGGGGTTAATGAAGGGATTCAGGGAAATCAGACTGAGTTCAGGAAGTGAAAAGGGCAAAAAACTTCAGGAAGAGCAGCAAATGAACGGTAATGAATGTTACTTCTTCTTTGAGTCACCTGCCTTGGTGGGAGACAACCAAGGAAAAAAAAACTTTTAATTGTCCATTAAAAATTATTATGTTACTTAGTAATAAAGATTACTTTTTTGTGGGGAGTCTCCAGGGCAATTGTCTCTGTTGCCCTCCCTTAAATACACCCCTGCCTTTAGGTGTGACTATCTTCTTGAGCTGTCACTAACTTTTTGATTAAGGATGGTACTTATCATTCTCTTTGCCTTGGGAATGACATGGCATAACTTACCAGTCAATAGTTGTTTGGTGCTCATCTCAGCCGAGACTAAAATAAATTAGGATTTAACTGGAGAAAAGTTTTTGAGGCAATACCATATGTCACACAACAACAAAAATTACCATTAGGTTAAAAAAAGAACAACAGTTAGGTAGAGCTTCTTCTATAAACAGTAAAGCCCTCTTATAACACAAAATCACATTGTGTGATTTTTCTTGCAACACAACTGAAAAGGTGCAAAAAATATTCATAAGCTGCTAAAAACTTTTGATATTACATGTAATAAAGCATAAAAGAATTAGCATAGCATCAACTTATGCTCAAAATCTGGGTACCATACATTATGGATGGCAGCCTCAAGACTGTTATGCTACTTAGAGTTCTGGCATAAATTTAATATTGCAAATGTGCTCATGCACACAAGTGTCAAGAGATGAAATTCCCCAATCAATCATATATGCAGGCTAGGGTTAATTATTTATGGCCTTCTATAGTGAAAAATTTCTTTGGTTTTCCCTCATTAAGGGGTCAGGTTCAGGAAACTGTGGATCTTGCAAGAACTGAGAGATGTGAGGGCTTAGAAGATATGCATGAAGATAGAAACTGTTAGCAGACAGTAACAAAGAACCAACTGCAGAAAAATTGCTAGAGAAGCTCAATTTCTAGAAAAGAGGGAGATAAATAAGGAGAATAAGAACCTGGTAATGTTGCATATTTTTTCACTGAAAAGGGAGCTGACAAGTCTAGACGCATTGCTCTGAAGTGGGATCTGGAGCAGATGATAATGTCTTATCTCTATAAAATACTTCAGGGAAAAAAACATATATTACAGAATAACTGAGCAATTCAGTACAATCATGAACTACTGACAACTCTGCATCTACATCAACACAAGAACAGTCATCCACCTCAGCCTAATAGGGCCATATCAACCCTCTTCCGTAGACCACAGCATCCTACTAGACAAACTTGACCATTACGGTATAAGAGGCCATGTGCTTGCATATTTCAAATCCTACCTTACTAATAGGAATCAGTATGTCACCATTAAGACACAGCCTCATCAACACGACCACTTGATACTGGAGTGCCACAGGGAAGTGTCCTTGGTCCCCTGCTCTTCCTCATAAACGTCAATGATCTTCCCAATGTATCCCAACACCTGAAACCCATTCTCTTTGCTGACGACACGACTTATGTCATCTCCCACCCAAATCTTGCCACCCTCAACACCATTGTTAACAAGGAGCTGCTCAAAATATCTACTTGGATGATAGCCAATAAACTTACACTTAACACAGACAAAACCTACTACATTATGTTTGGTAGCAGGGCAGGTGTTGCACAACTTAACATTAAGATTGACAACACTCTAATTGCCAGACATAATGAGGGTAAATTCCTAGGCCTATACTTCAACAACAACCTGAATTTCAGCACCCATATCCAACACATAACAAAAAAAGTATCCAAAACGGTTGGGATCCTCTCCAAGATACTATACTACGTGCCGCAATCTGCCCTTCTCACACTATACCATTCACTCATTTATCCATACCTCACCTATGCTATTTGTGCCTGGGGATCAACTGCAGCAACACACCTAAAGCCAATAATAACCCAACAAAAAGCCGCAGTAAGAATAAACACGCAATCCCATCCCAGGCAACACCCCCCCCCCACTCTTCATAGATCTACACTTACTCACTGTCCAGAACATCCACACTTACTACTGTGCAATCTACATCTACAAGACCTTAAATTCCAATATTAACCCTGACCTAAAACGCTTTCTTGATAGTTGTGACAAGACCCACAGGCATAACACCAAACACAAACATCTCTATGACATTCCCCGTGTCCGACTAAACCTTTACAAAAATTCAATGTACGTCAAAGGGCCTATACTCTGGAACACCCTACCTAAAAACTCTAGAACTGCAGACACATTCATCACTTTCAAAACTACTGTTAGAAAACATTTTATCTCCCTGATACACCCCGTCAGGTAACTACACCTGGTGGTTCACACTTGCACTCACACACTCATCCAATTGACTATAAACACAGAAATACGAATCTTAAAATAATGAATCCTAACTAGTCATAAGTTTGTCTGTGATACTCCAATATAGAAACTATGTATTGTACCAAAACAAAAGCATTCACATTGTTAAATTTACAAACTGTAATGTAGTTACTTAGCCTTAATACCAACCTGCTCCATAATCTCTAATAATTTAGAGTTATGAATTAATCTTAGTCTGCCCGAAATGCCTAGCCATGCTAGGTGTGATAGTGGCCCCCTCTGTAATTAGTACTTTATAACATGTAAAGTACACAATATCCTAAAATGTGTAAACCCCGCATTGTAATCTTTATAGAGAATAAATTTGATTTGATTCAAACATTTCCATGTAAGCTATGATAAACTGTAGTAATTTTTATTTAGTACAATATTAAGAGCAAGTTGTTTAAGAACTTTGGAGTTCCCAGGAACATGACCCTATTTTCTCTCAAGTTCTTCATTTCACATACACTACTTTTTTTTACAAGGTAAAGAGTTTCAGGAGGGTTTACTGTACAGTATATATTTTTACCTCTGACTCATGTTCTGAAATTTTCCTTTCTGAAATTTCTTCCTCTTCACTCTCATCAGATGACTGAGCACCAACTGACTGGCTCAAAACTGCTTCTTGTTCTATTTCTTGGCTTCTTGTGCTGACTGGAGCTGACCTAGTTCTTACAACTGCCAATTCTTTCATTGCTTGTGTAGGTACAAGAGATCCCTCATCTCGTCCTTGCGATGCTACAAAAGTCACTGTTAAAATATTGAGAATGTAAGCACTAAAACTATTCTAAGTGTTAAATTCTAAATATTGCAACATAACTGACTTTCATTTAATTACATGCTCTTAATTGCTACAACACTGAATACTTTACAATACAAAATCCTGCCAGTGAAAACTGAGTGAAATAAAACAAACGCCAGTTTTATGGAAATATAAATTACTAGTTGTAAAGAAGGAAATGAGCTTAACCCTTTGACTGTCGCAACCCCAAATCCTGAGGCGTCTCCTGGCGTCACAAAAAATTTGGAAAAAAAAAAAAAAAAAAAAAAAAAAATTCTTATGAAATGATAAGAGAATCTTTTCCCGATGGTAATGACACCAAAAGTACGAAATTCGATGGAAAACTTGCAGAATTACGCTCTCCCGAAGTTCATGACTTCGGCGATATTTACGAATCTGCGATTTTGTCCACTTTGAGCCCTATTTTCAGGTAATTCTATTGTTCCAGCCAACCAAACTCATAGCTATTTCTTTAGAAATCCATTGTTTTATCAACTGAGTACAAGAAACTGCCCATTTACCAATTTCAACTACCCAATAAAGTGGTCAGAAATTGGCAATTTATCCAATTTCACACAAAAAAGATGGCAATTTCAAAATAGGGTCCAGAATGAACAATGCAGACAGTCCTGGTTCTAAAACAACATTGTCTTTGTTCATCAGTCACGTCTCCAGGCCCCTCTGATACTACTATTGCTTTCTATTTTGAATTTTTATTAAAAAAATAGAAGATTTACTGTTATGCAGACTACAGCAATATTGTAATAATTGTATAAATAATGTTGACCCATTCATGACTGCATATTAGAATGGCTAATTGGACATTTATTAGACTGACGTCATTTGTTTACTCTTGAACATCGGCAAAAATCAAACATTTTCCCTACAAGTGTAGTCAAAGATAAGATAAAACCAATATTGCAAACAAGAAATACAACAGGAAATAGCAAACAAGAGGACTCCACTAGCAATAGTGAGGATATATTACCAAAAACAACTGGTGGGAGCTCCATTGTTGGTGCTAGGGAAGATAGGAATAAGACAGGTAAACATGCACCAACAGGGAATACAGTCACAGAAACCCAAGGCAAACGGAAACCAAGCCTGTGCACATACTATGCACTTGGTATCTGCAGATATGGGAAATCTGGAAAAACAGATGGGACGTGCAACTATGACCACCCTAGAAAATGCCGTGCCCATATGACAACAGGAAAATGCAAACTCCCTTCCTGTAAGCTTTTTTCACCCTGAAATGTGTACCTCTTCAGTACAGGAAAGACTGTGCTATAACTTAAATTGCCAGGCACACCATCTAAAGGGGACAAAAAGATACAAAACATCCAGGCCATGGGAAAACCTGGGTAGCCACAGCCACTCAAGAGGGAGAGGTTTTTTAGTGCCAGGAAGGAAAAAAAACTGGCAGGAAATGGCAGAAATTGTACACCAAATCCAGTCATTCCTGGAGTGGAACCACAGTCGATGGCCTCCACTCCAAACCAACAGATACAGATACTAATGCCGGAAAAAAAATTCCCCCCAGTACCAACAATACCACCAGTCCGATGACATTCTTCTTTGCAAATATACAGGGTCTAAAGCCAGCAACAAACAACAAAATACCTTTCATCCGTGGACTGCTTGCAGAGGCAAAGGCAATGTTCACAAGCCTTTCACTGAGACCCACATAAAGGATCACTTAGACAACGAAATATGGATCCCAGGTTACAACCTATACAGATGTGACAGAGTGAACAGGCAAAAGGGGGGGGTTGGCCTGTACATTGCAGAGTCACTTGTTTGCACAGAACTGCTTAATGCCTCAAATGATGTAGTGGAAGTTTTAGCAGTAAAGGTCGAGAACCAAAACCTAGCCGTTGTGGTAGTCTACAAGCCTCCGGATGCAACATCCCAGCAATTCCAGGAACAGCTGTTAAAAATTGACCACTGTCTGGAAAATCTTCCAGCTCCTGCACCCAACATCTTGCTCCTGGGGGATTTCAACTTAAGGCACCTAAAATGGAGGAATATAGCAAATAATATTGTTGCAGTAATAACACCAGGAGGCAGCTCTGATGAAAACTCACACTCACACGAGCTTTTAAATCTCTGCACAAAATTCAATTTAAACCAGCAAATAATAGAGCCTACTAGAATGGAGAATACACTAGACCTCATCTTCACTAACAATGATGATCTGATAAGAAATGTCACCATATCAAAAACAATATACTCAGATCACAACATAATTGAGGTTCAAACATGTATGCGCAGAGCCCCAGACCGACAAAATGAGATTAGTCACGAGGGAACATTCACCAAATTAAACTTCAATAACAAAAACAAAGTGGGACCAAGTAAACCAAGTCCTAACCGATATAAGCTGGGAAGATATACTAAGCAACACAGACCCCAACTTATGCCTAGAACAGATTAACTTGGTGGCACTCGATGTATGCACAAGACTTATTCCTCTAAGAAAAAGGAGGAGTAGATGTAAAATAGAAAGAGACAGGCGCTCTCTTTACAGGCGACGGAAAAGAATAACAGAGCGGCTAAAAGAGGTCAATCTATCTGAAATCCGTAGGGAGACACTGGTCAGAGAAATAGCACACATCGAACTTAAGCTAAAGGAATCTTATAGGAGTCAGGAATCACGGGAAGAACTAAAAGCCATAAATGAAATCGAAAGAAACCCAAAGTATTTCTTCTATGCCAAATCAAAGTCGAGAACAACGTCCAGTATTGGGCCCTTACTTAAACAAGATGGGTCCTACACAGATGACAGCAAGGAAATGAGTGAGCTACTCAAGTCCCAATATGACTCAGTTTTTAGCAAGCCACTAACCAGACTGAGAGTCGAAGATCAAAATGAATTTTTATGAGAGAGCCACAGAATTTGGTTAACACAAGCCTATCTGATGTTATCCTGACGCCAAATGACTTCGAACAGGCGATAAATGACATGCCCATGCACTCTGCCCAGGGCCAGACTCATGGAACTCCGTGTTCATCAAGAACTGCAAGAAGTCCCTATCACGAGCCTTTACCATCCTATGGAGAGGGAGCATGGACACGGGGGTCGTCCCACAGTTACTAAAAACAACAGACATAGCCCCACTCCACAAAGGGGGCAGTAAAGCAACAGCAAAGAACTACAGACCGATAGCACTAACATCCCATATCATAAAAATCTTTGAAAGAGTCCTAAGAAGCAAGATCACCACCCATCTAGAAACCCATCAGTTACACAACCCAGGGCAACATGGGTTTAGAACAGGTCGCTCCTGTCTGTCTCAACTATTGGATCACTACGACAAGGTCCTAGATGCACTAGAAGACAAAAAGAATGCAGATGTAATATATACAGACTTTGCAAAAGCCTTCGACAAGTGTGACCATGGCGTAATAGCGCACAAAATGCGTGCTAAAGGAATAACAGGAAAAGTCAGTCGATGGATCTATAATTTCCTCACTAACAGAACACAGAGAGTAGTAGTCAACAGAGTAAAGTCCGAGGCAGGCACGGTGAAAAGCTCTGTTCTACAAGGCACAGTACTCGCTCCCATCTTGTTCCTCATCCTCATATCTGACATAGACAAGGATGTCAGCCACAGCACCGTGTCTTCCTTTGCAGATGACACCCGAATCTGCATGACAGTGTCTTCCATTGCAGACACTGCAAGGCTCCAGGCAGACATCAACCAAATCTTTCAGTGGGCTGCAGAAAACAATATGAAGTTCAACGATGAGAAATTTCAATTACTCAGATATGGTAAACACGAGGAAATTAAATCTTCATCAGAGTACAAAACAAATTCTGGCCACAAAATAGAGCGAAACACCAACGTCAAAGACCTGGGAGTGATCATGTCGGAGGATCTCACCTTCAAGGACCATAACATTGTATCAATCACAGCTGCTAGAAAAATGACAGGATGGATAATGAGAACCTTCAAAACGAGGGATGCCAAGCCCATGATGACACTCTTCAGGTCACTTGTTCTATCTAGGCTGGAATATTGCTACACACTAACAGCACCTTTCAAGGCAGGTGAAATTGCTGACCTAGAAAATGTACAGAGAACCTTCACGGCGCGCATAATGGAGATAAAACACCTCAATTACTGGGAGCGCTTGGGGTTCCTGAACCTGTATTCCCTGGAATGCAGTCAGGAGAGATACATGATTATATACACCTGGAAAATCCTAGAGGGACTAGTACCGAACTTGCACACGAAAATCACTCACTACGAAAGCAAAAGACTTGGCAGACGATGCAACATCCCCCCAATGAAAAGCAGGGGTGTCACTAACACGTTAAGAGACCATACAATAAGTGTCAGGGGCCTGAGACTGTTCAACTGCCTCCCAGCATACATAAGGGGGATTACCAACAGACCCCTGGCAGTCTTCAAGCTGGCACTGGTCAAGCACCTAAAGTCGGTTCCTGATCAGCCGGGCTGTGGCTCGTATGTTGGTTTGCGTGCAGCCAGCAGTAACAGCCTGGTTGATCAGGCTCTGATCCACCAGGAGGCCTGGTCAAAGACCGGGCCGCGGGGGCATTGACCCCCGGAACTCTCTCCAGGTAAACTCCAGGTAAACTTGAGCTCCATTTCAAAGTCCTTTTCATAGTAAAACCAATCAAAATCATCTCTATTTCTGTAATATGTTTTCCATTCTATCAAATGAGACCAAGAAAACGAGAATACAACTATAAATACTATACGAAAATACACCTTAAACTTATCATTTCAATCCAAAAACACAATCGGAGTTTTTTTTTTCTCATTATGCACTGCATGCCGCAGGATTTTTTTTTATGCAGTGCACACCGACCACACAGACCCATTCTCTCACATGTGGGCCTACCAGCTTTCTCCCGATTGATTTGAAGCTGCTAGAATTATTGAGTATATATACAAATTCAAAATGGGAATTGACACAGTTACTTTTTGCTGATGATACTGTGCTTATGGGAGATTCTTAAGAAAAATTACAAAGGCTAGTGGATGAGTTTGAGAATGTGTGTAAAGGTAGAAAGTTGAAAGTGAACATAGAAAAGAGTAAGGTGATGAGGGTATCAAATGATTTAGATAAAGAAAAATTGGATATCAAATTGGGGAGGAGGAGTATGGAAGAAGTGAATGTTTTCAGATACTTGGGAGTTGATGTGTCAGCAGATGGATTTATGAAGGATGAGATTAATCATAGAATTGATGAGGGAAAAAAGGTGAGTGGTGCATTGAGGTATATGTGGAGTCAAAAAACGTTATCTATGGAGGCAAAGAAGGGAATGTATGAAAGTATAGTAGTACCAACACTCTTATATGGATGTGAAGCTTGGGTGGTAAATGCAGCAGCGAGGAGACGGTTGGAGGCAGTGGAGATGTCCTGTCTAAGGGCAATGTGTGGTGTAAATATTATGCAGAAAATTCGGAGTGTGGAAATTAGGAGAAGGTGTGGAGTTAATAAAAGCATTAGTCAGAGGGCAGAAGAGGGGTTGTTGAGGTGGTTTGGACATTTAGAGAGAATGGATCAAAGTAGAATGACATGGAAAGCATATAAATCTATAGGGGAAGGAAGGAGGGGTAGGGTCGTCCTCGAAAGGGTTGGAAAGAGGGGGTAAAGGAGGTTTTGTGGGCGAGGGGCTTGGATTTCCAGCAAGCGTGCATGAGCGTGTTAGATAGGAGTGAATGGAGATGAATGATACTTGGGACCTGACGATCTGTTGGAGTGTGAGCAGGGTAATATTTAGTGAAGGGATTCAGGGAAACTGGTTATTTTCATATAGTCGGACTTGAGTCCTGGAAATGGGAAGTACAATGCCTGCACTTTAAAGGAGGGGTTTGGGATATTGGCAGTTTGGAGGGATATGTTGTGTATCTTTATACCTATATGCTTCTAAACCGTTGTATTCTGAGCACCTCTGCAAAAGCAGTGATAATGTGCGAGTGTGGTGAAAGTGTTGAATGATGATGAATGTATTTTCTTTTTGGGGAGTTTCTTTCTTTTTTGGGTCACCCTGCCTCGGTGGGAGATGGCCGACTTGTTGAAAAAAAAAAAAAAAATATATACATCAAACACATTGGCTCATAAGACATATATATACATGTATGACCGAAACAGTCAAAGGGTTAATAACTAACTAAAGACAATCCAAGCCATAGATAAATCATTCACTTATAGTATTAGAATCATCCATATATGAAGAATATTCTAACCTGTGTCATTAGAAGGGGTTGAGGGAGACTGTATGGACAGATGACGTGAGACTGGCAGATCTCTAGGTCTTCCCAGTTTACCTCCAAGTCGTACTAATCCAGAAACAACCTTGCTGGCTCTAGTAGTCCCTTGGCTGTAACTAATACTATTACTTGTGCTGCTACTATCACAAGCAGTCGTTCCTTCACCTTTTATATTTCGGTTACTGTTACTGTTGCTTAGACTATTGCTGAAGATCACAGCTGCTGTAGTTCCAGATATTGCAGTATTATAATACAGATTTTGGCTAGAAAAATCATTTACATAAATGACTTTGAACAGAAGTAATAAGGTAAAGCAATAAAGCTCTTTGTAAAAGAACAGATGTTGCAGGCAACTACTGGATTTTGTAAATTGTGCAAATTTGTATGTTATCAAAGTCCTTTAAGTACAAACAGGAAAGTAGAAAGAGAAAAAAGTTTATTTTAGCGGATGGTAGTGAAAAAGGTAATCCGTAGTGAAAAAGGTAATGTGAATACAATACATTTCTGCGAAAAGCAAAGAAAGCTCTAATAGCTGGCTATTGATAGCGAAGGTTTATGCTCCCTTTTAAACTACAATATAGTACTAAATATTTACATGATGAATTAATAGTAAAGCAATTTCAATGGAAAACTTGCAAAATGTTTTCTGGCCCTTATATTTACCATTTAAAGGGTCAGTGAAAGCATTAGGAGAAGACAACCTCCGTAATGAACCAGTATTTTGTGACACTTGCTCTGATGAATTTTGTCTGTTAATATTTTGTTGAGTTCTAGGTACACTGGATGATCTTGTAAAAGTAGCAGAAGATGCCACTGCCTGTGGGCCTCGATGAACATCAGGTCGACCTCCAACAGTGGGAACATGATGTGGGACTTTACTTGAATACCCAGGTGGTCTAGGATATTGCTGCAATGAAAAAGGACATCATATTTCACAACCTCTACTCTGAATGAAAGGTGCCACATTAAGCACTTTCTTTTTAATGCACGTGACATCTCCCACCATAGTAGGGTAACCTAAAAAAGAAAACATTTTCACCATTACTGATTCAATAACTGTAAATTTCTTAAATGAGATTACTTTTTTTTAACACCTATTTTTTTTTTTTTCAACAAATCACCCGTCTCCCACCGAGGCAGGGTAACCCAAAAAGAAAATCCCCACAAAGAAAATACTTTCATTATCATTCAACACTTTCACCTCACTCATGCATAATCGCTGTTTTGGCAGACGTGCCCAGATACAACAGTTTAGAAGCACATATAAAGATATATAACATATCTCTCCAAACTGACAATATTCCAAAAACCTTCCTTTACAGTGTAGGCATTGTACTTCCCATTTCCAGTACTCAAGTCCGTCTATATAAAAATAACCACTTTCCCTGAATCCCTTCACTAAATATTAGCATGCTCGCACTCCAACAGCTCGTCAGGTCCCAAATACCATTCGTCTCCATTCACTCCTATCTAACACGCTCATGCACACTTGCTGGAAGTCCAAGCCCCCTGCCCACAAAACCTCCTTTACCTCCTCCCTCCAACCTTTTCGAGGACAACCCCTGCCCCGCCTTCCTTCCCCTACAGATTTATACGCTCTCCATGTCATTCTACTTTGATCCATTCTCTCTAAATGACCAAACCACCTCAACAACCCCTCTTCAGCCCTCTGACTAATACTTTTAGTAACACCACACCTTCTCCTAATTTCCACACTCAGAATTTTCTGCATAATATTTACACCATACATTGCCCTTAGACAGGACATCACTGCCTCTAACTGCCTCCTCGCTGCAGCATTTACAACCCAAGCTTCACACCCAAACAAGGGAGTTGGTACCACTACACTTTCATACATTCCCTTCTTTGCCTCCATTGATAACGTTTTTTTGTTTCCACATACGTATACCTCAATGCACCACTCATCTTTTTTCCTTCATCAATTCTATCGTTAACCTCATCCTTCATAAACCCATCTGCTGACACGTCAACTCCCAAATATCTGAAAACATTCACTTCTTCCATACTCCCTCTCTATTTTTTCTTCATCTAAATCATTTGATACCCTCATCAACTAACTCTTATCTATGATCACTTTCAACTTTCTAATTTTACACACCCTCCCAAACTCATCCACTAACCTTTGCAACTTTTCTTTAGAATCTCCCATAGGCAGAGTATCATCAGCAAAAAGTAACTGTGTCAACTCCCATTTTGTATTTCATTCCCCATAATTTAATCCCACTCCTCTCCCCATTAATACATATATTAAACAACCATGGTGACATTACACATCCCTGACTAAGACCTACTTTTACCAGGAAGTAATCTCCCTCTCTTCTGCACATCCTAACCCAAGCCTCATTATCCTCATAAAAACTCTTTACAGCATTTATTAACTTACTACCTATTCCATATACTTGCAACATCTGCTACATTGCTCCCCTATCCACTATCATATGCCTTTTCTAAATCCATAAATGCAATGAAAACTTCCCTACCTTTATCTAAATACTGTTCACATATACGTTTCAATGTAAACACTTGATCTACACATCCCCTACCCATTCTAAAGCCTCCTTGCTCATCCACAATCCTACTCTCTGTCTCACCACTAATTCTTTCACTAATAACCCTACCACACACTTTTCCTGGTATACTCAGTAAACTTATTTCCCTATAACTTTTGTCCCCCTTCCCTATACATAAAGGAACTAAACATGCTCTCTGCCAATCCCTAGGTACCTTCCCCCTCTTTCATACATTTATTAAACAAAAGTACCAACCACTCCAATGCTATATCTCCCCCATGCTTTTAACATTTCTGTCATGATTCCATCAGTTCCAGCTGCTTTACCCACTTTCATTCTACATAATGCCTCAGACATCTCCCTCCCACTCACATCCTGCTCTTCTTCACTCCTAAAAGATGTTATACCTCCCTGGCCAGTGAATGAAATTACTGCCTCCCTTTCTTCATCAACATTTAAAAGTTCCTCAAAATATTTCCGCCATCTGCCCAATACCTTCAGCTCCCTATCTACTAACTCCCCTACTCTGTTTTTAACTGACAAACCCATTCTCTTCCCTAGACTTTCTTAACCTGTTTATCTCCAATTTTTTTTCCTATTTTCATAAAAATTTCTTGACAGTGCCTCTCCCACTCTATCATCTACTCTTCTTTTGCACTCTCTCACCACTCTCTTCACCTTTCTTTTACTCTCCATATATTCTACTCTTCTTATAACACTTCTGCTTTGTAAAAACCTCTCATAAGCTATCTTTTTCTCTTTTCTCATACCCTTTACTTCATCATTCCACCAATCACTCCTCTTTCCTCCTGCACCCACCCTCCTATAACCACAAACTTCTGCCCCACATTCTAATACTGCATTTTTAAAACTATTCTAACCCTCTTCAACCCCCCCACTACTCATACTTGCACCAGCCCACCTTTCTGCCAATAGTTGCTTATATCTCACCTGAACTTCCTCCTCCCTTAGTTTATACACTTTCACTTCCCTCTTGCTTGTTGTTGCCATTTTCCTCTTTTCCCATCTACCTCTTACTCTAACTGTAGCTACAACTAAATAATGATCCGATATATCAGTTGCCCCTGGAGCCTACCCATCAACCTTTTATCCACCAATACATAATCTAACAAGCTACTTTCATTACGTGCTATATCATACCTTGTATATTTATTTATCCTCTTCTTCATAAAATATGTATTACTTATTACCAAACCTCTTTCTACACATAGCTCAATTAAAGGCTCCCCATTTTCATTTACCCCTGGCACCCCAAATTTACCTACTACTCCCTCCACAACATTTTTGCCCACTTTAGCATTGAAATCCCCAACCACCATTACTCTCACACTTGGTTCAAAACTCCCCATGCATTCACTCAACATTTCCCAAAATCTCTCTCTATCCTCTACACTTCTCTCTCTCCAAGTGCATATATATTTACTATAACCCACTTTTCACATCCAACCTTTATTTTACCCCACATAATCCTTGAATTAATACATTTATAGCCCCTCTTTTCCTGCCATAACTTATCCTTCAACATTATTTCTATAATTCACTAATCCTAGGTAGTAGGTTGGTAGACAGCAACCACCCAGGGAGGTACTACCGTCCTGCCAAGTGAGTGTAAAACAGAAACCTGTAATTGTTTTACATGATGGTAGGATTGCTGGTGTCATTTTTCAGGTACGTCTTGCTATTTCATTTCCCCTTTTTAAAAGGGTTAAAACAACCACCCAAACATGGGTGAACAAACCAAAAATACAAAAAATTCCCGAAAAAATTAAATAGGTTGTTTAAGCCGTAATTTAAAAAGGAAAATCGTAATGAAAATTTTCGTATAAACTTTGGCTCGCTAATCGTAATTGACTTTTAAATATTTTTCCCGCCCCGGGACCATACCCCACGCTCTGAGCCGCCCTGGCCTCCCTTCCCACCGGGTGGCTTTTGTTTACCAGTGAGCGATGGTCCCCTCACTTGGGCTCTTTAATGAAATACTTCATAAAATCCATTCTTTTTAAAGGTTTGGGCAACAAACTAAAAAAAACCCCAAAGGGCCCCAAAAGAAAGCCCCCTTTGGTAAAGAAGGTGAAAAAATACAATTGTTTTTAAAAAAACATCACTGAACAATAAGGGAAAAGTGGCGAAACGTAGGGCCCCAACCCGGGGCCCAAGGAGGATAAAAAACCCCCATACAACCATATCTTCCATCGGGCCAAAAAAAAGGAAAAATCAAGACGTGTTTTTTAAAAGGGGGGAAAATTTATGTTTAAAAAAGGGAGTTTTCCCCAGTATTTCGAAGAAGGTTGAAAGTTATTATTGGGTGGATAAAGGGAAAAACAATTAGCAGGAGATAGTCCTTAGATTTTTCAATTTTTTTGTAAAAAGGGCTAGGGAAATTGCCCAAAGATCTGGTAAAAAAAATTGCCGTAAATGGGGGTTATGTGAGTGGGGAAATTTTAAAGGGCCCGCAAAGGTTGGTTTGAGAAAAAAAGAAAAAGCAGTCCCCTACCAAAAAGGTGGTAAGGAATGGTAGGCCCGCCATTTTGGACCCAAAGTGGGCAAAAAAAAGTCATGAATTCAAGGGGTACATAAAGGCTGAAAGACTGAAACCCGAACAAGTGGAACAACTGGACGAAACAGACCTCTTTTTTGGAAAAAAAATTGGGAAAGGGGGATCCCACATTACTCAGAGGGAAAAAACACCCGCCAGGGCTTAAAACCCCAAAAAAACCGGGTGATGCTCATGTTCTGTGCAATGCTAGTGGGGGCCCCCAAAAAAACCGTGAATTTGTTTTACCATTCTGAAAAACCCCCTGTGTTCAGGAAAAAAAAATGTTTTGAAAGAAAAGCGTGGTTTTTTTGGAAAAAACCCCCAAAAGTAAGGCATGGGTCCCGAGGGAAAATTTCCGCGAGTGGTTAAAAGAAGTGTTTTGGCCCTAGTTTTGAAAAATTACCTCCCTTTAAAAAAAAAAACCCCCCCCTAAGTAATGGACAATGCACCTGCTCATCCCCCCAAACTTGGATGACCAATTTTCGAGGGGTTTGGGGGTTTATCACAGTAAAGTTCTTGCCCCCCCGAATACCACTCCCTCCTCCAGGGGCCCCTGGGCCAGGGAGGTCATTTTCAAACTTTAAAAAAAACCTACCCAAAGCAAAGTTTTTTAAAAGGGGCTTGAATGTGACCTCAGACACTCATTTGGGGGCCCCAAGAGTTTTTGGGGAGAACACTTCAAAACACCTTTCCCTTGCCCTAAGCCTTATAGGGAAGGGGTTGGAAGGGGAGTGACACCAGGGCTTTTTAAAAATCTGCTTGGGGGAAAATTGTGGCCAGATTGTGTCCACAAAGGGATTTTTAAAGGGTTTTGGGGCT